CGGAGTACAAAATAAAAGATTTGTACATGAAAGTAGTTACATGGTTTGCACTCATAATTTAAATATGTTTTTTAGAAACATATCAACATATGTAAAAATATATAGGTAATTCTTTTCTTCCAAATTCATTTGATAAATGAAATACTAATGAATTTGATCAATTTCGGGTCTAATCGGTTTCGGGTCTAATCGGTTCCGGGTCTAATCGGTTCCGGGTTTAACCGGGTTCGGGTTTAATCGGGTTCGGGTTTAATCGGTTCGGGTTTAATCAGTTCGGGTTTAATCGGATTCGGGTCTGAATCGGGTCTCAATACATTCGGTTCGGGTTCGGTTCGGTTCGGATCATTTCGGGTGTTCGGTTCTATTTCGGTTCTTCAGTTTTCAGGTCAAATCGGGTTCGGTTCCGGGTTATTCGGTTCGGGTTATCGGGTCCGGGTCAGTTTTGCCAGGTCTACATATAACCCAATGGAGGGAACCCAAACAATCAAGGAAAACACAAGGAACAATGATCATTGGTCCCTTCTTTCTTAACAAGGCTTACCTCATGCATAATGTTATCCTTTTCCTCTTCCTCGGGGGTAGGCCAACCATACGCTTCCTCAATATCAAACCCTCCCTCCATGCAAAACATACCCTCAAAAACGTGTTTTCCATCTACAATCTTTTTGTCCTTGGGAATCAACTCCTGCACATATATAAATAAATAATTCTCTCTCTTTATCAACACCTAACTAAATTAAACCCTCTCATGTCATTCTATTGAGTTACTCAAATAATGTATGTTCCACTAATGTACGTACATACCTCCAACGCATCCTTAGCATCTTCGACCTCCGAATCACATTCTCCCTCAATACATATGTATACCTCTTTAGCGGTAAATGTGTCAAAGTACACTGACGCCGTCGGACTTGATTCCCAAATCTTTTTAATAGCTTCCCCTTTTTTGCCAATGAAATAATCAAAATATGCCAAAGGGATTCGTGTGGACTCCTTGATCTACAAAACAAGCAAAGTTAAGGTTAATCTACATGCTGCAGACTTGGGAATAAAGTTGTACAGTGCAACCGTGATTTGTTTATCTACATAATCAACTAAAAAAGAAAGGGAACTCACCATAAACTTTCTTCGAGGCTTCACACCTGAATATGCTCCACATGCAACTTTTTCGAAAAAAGGTGAACAAATGACTTTCTGTACAATATCCATGTGCATACAAAAACACGAGTGACTATATGCCAGAGAATATATCTAATCCAGTATGCATATATACTTTTGCACCCGAACTTACCCCAGCTCTAAGCTCTGACATCATTCTCCCATCAACCTCAAAATCCCCCAGATACGAAACAATTGATTCAATTGTCTCGTGTACCTCCCCACGCTTCCCTTCCACTTCAACAATCACATCACCCGGGAAAAAAACTGGCATGTTATCTACATAGAGTATGCAATCGTTTAAGATAACTGAAAGTTAAAATAAGAACTGGCAGAGTAAATAATAACATAGGAATGGAGAACCTGCCACACCAGCTTATTACACACCTGTTAGATACACATAGAGTCTATACGGATCCGGGAAGATTGTGTGGAAAATAATCATCTTTTTTGCATGCGATGCCGGTACAAGTAGCCTTGTTAAGCAGTTCTCATATGGCATGGTTTGCAAATAATTTTCGTGAACCTCATCAAAAGCATTAAGAGCATGAGTACTGGAGCATTTAGAGTCCCTTTTCNTATTACACACCTGTTAGATACACATAGAGTCTATACGGATCCGGGAAGATTGTGTGGAAAATAATCATCTTTTTTGCATGCGATGCCGGTACAAGTAGCCTTGTTAAGCAGTTCTCATATGGCATGGTTTGCAAATAATTTTCGTGAACCTCATCAAAAGCATTAAGAGCATGAGTACTGGAGCATTTAGAGTCCCTTTTCGCTGATACCATAACCTATGCACAACAATTTCAGATACTATCACATACAACCTCAACTCCGATATGAAAAAAGTTAATTTCGTTTTCTCTAGTACCAATATTACTCTATGAAACCATCATTAAAAAATAGTGCATTACCTTAAAAGGAGGCAGTACCTCACAAAGAAAAAAATGAATGTAATAAACATATTGGGGGATGGTGTGGGGGGGGGGATCAGAATGACAGGCGTTAAGACATCAAATCAACAAAACAGCATGAGCCTTCTCCAACGATAAGATCTTGCCAGCTGAACCACCGCGTACAACCGTGTCCAATGGGAACATCAACTCCGGTGCCACCCTAGGAAAAGCAATGGAGAAAGAAGAGAAAGTTGGGTGTGGCGCATATGAGTCGAAACCGACAATGTATCACCTAGGTCAAAGTGATGGGTAATGATTGTGAAGAGTGGCTTCGCGCTATGTGAATGACTCTTCGTGCAAACATAATTTTTTGCGTCAGTGATGGATGTCTCAAACAAGAATGCGGAGAATTGGAAGTCAAGTGGACAGAGAATGTCATCTAGTGATACTGTCGATCACAGACTATAATCCTCTACCATACAAGTTGAGGCGACCAAGCTTTGATGGAATCACATCAAAGAAAGAGTCAATCGCTAATGGACACACATGTAACAGCTACATGCAGAGCTTGAAGGTTGCACGTAAAATATCAAGTATTATGGAGGATTGAAAAACTCATGGGACAAGATCACAATTGTGACAAAATTCCCAACTTGCAGCTGTGATGGGTGTTAGTGTGAAGTGACTTGAACACGACATATAAGAATGATCCTCCACATAATCTGATGGGTTTCACAGATGCTGCCTAAAGGGAAAAGAAAATCGTGAATTGATTTGCCTAGGAAACACTACTTATAACTATATTAATAATACATATGTGTTCTATATTTTTAAAATTTCAGAATGACTTGTGTGTATGTTTGTGTAGGATCTTACGATTTACAATATTTACTTGGGATATGGATCCTACGTAAAATCTCGAGTTTGACTACCCATAGTTTGTAAGGCGCCAATGTACCTTCATATTGCCTAGGCGATGACTAGGCGACAAATATATATATATATATATATATATATATACATATACACATATATATATATACATATATATATATTTATATATAAATACATACATACATACATATATATATATATATATATATATATATATATATATATATAAAATAGTTTGCACTAAAAAAATGGGTTTTTCAAAATTTTTAAAGGGCCCAAGGCATCAATGCGAGGTAAGGCGAATCAAGGCGAGGTAAAGTGAGGCAAGGCAAGGAAAGGCGATGCCTAGGCGAGCGCCTGGTCGGCTTAAGGTTTTCTAGGCAAGGCAAGAAACAAGGCGTCCCAATGATAGCGCCTTATCACCTAGGTCGCCTAGGCGACGCCTTACAAACTATGTGACTACCTTGAATAAAATTTAAAAACTTTAAAATCAAAGTTTGACTTAGAAGAGAGGACTTGGCAGGGTTTCAAGACCGCCAAGAATGTCTAGCATTCAAGAAAATATACCACTAACAAAAACTATTGCATGCTGAACTTAAAAACTCATAAAAATCTAACACTCTAACCCTAACCAACTTTCCCCCCAATCCATGCTGAAGCATAATCAATTCAAAAAAGAGAATTATGAACATAAATGTGTTGTAGAAAGATGGCATGTATAATTTAAGCTCTACTTACAACTCCAACTCCAGTAGCGACAGGAAGAAGATTTACTTCAACATTTTTCTTCTCATATTCAGATTTGAGGTGAAAAATCTGACCCTTGAAACAATCAATGGAATCATCATCCTTTGTGGAAATCAACATCCTGAAAACAGTCAACCCTAGACAATTTCCATAATCACCAGCCAATAAACAGAATTAGTATTCCACAAACACAGAAGGGCAACATTTGAAGTCAGCAATTGTATGAATTTTACAAGGAACACATTAGATGCATGATATATAAACACACACGCACACACGCACACACACATACACACATACACGCATACATTCAAATATATATATATATATATATATATATATATATATATATATATATATATAATCTACATCAACCATTGAACTCCTTTCAGTCTAAGCATATACGTATGTGTACACACACAGATATGTGTGTGTGAGTGTGATCTCCACCATCAATTGAACTCCTTTCAGTTTAAGTATATAGTAAATACGTATGTGTACACATGTATATACGGAGTATATCCTATCTCATAATCATACCAATTCTCTCTCTTTCAATTAAATTTTCAACCACATGGCCCAACTTTTTTCTATTTTCTAACCTTTTTCCTACCACAAAACTTTGACCTGAGCATTTTTTTTTAAATTTGTGAAAACACATAAATAATGAAATGAGGCTGAAGATGTTAATATACCACACCATTATGGCCCCACCATGTTTTGTTGGGCTTGGAGCCTGGGGAATGGCTTTAGGGTTGTAGGGTAGTGTTGATGGTCACTTAGGGAAAAGGAATAATTCTGAAACGATATTGTGAATCGGGGGATTGGTGTCAACCAGGGGGGTTGGGTATTTGTGGGATGGTGATATTCCCACTGGTATGCTTTGGAGGGTAGACCTCACCCCTACTTGAAAATAGTGATTCATGTGTGTGTGTGTCACAATAAGCTTTACACTTTTCTTTATTGTCCATTTCAAAATAAACTTCATACATCACCTTTTACGTTTTAAGAAAAAATATGTTGCCTAAATATTTCTCTCATAAACAAATTTCAACCATCCATTATTACCTATTCAATGATGTTTCTAAACTCCTTGAAGTCAAACTATCAAACTAACATTTGAAAGAGAGAGAGAGAGAGAGAGAGAGAGAGTGTGTGTGTGTGTGTGTGTGAGACAAAACTTTCAAGAGCAAGAAATTGTGTTCGTTTCCATAAACCTAAAGTAATGAAATTGTAGGTGTCATTCAAGGCTATGAAGAGAGTAGTGAAGACAAAAAAAATATTGAAAAAATAGAGAACTATCAAATTTTTATGTGTTTAGAACAGCAATGGGCAGAGACATCTGGCGGGCATACATATCAAATTACAAAACAAAAAAAAGAGAAAAAAAGGCTCATATGAAGTGAAGTGAAAGTGTTTGAAATAAAATAAATTAACACCATTTACAGACGAGAGGCTGATGAATAAAGTAACTAGCACACCAAATTTTAACAACAAAAGAAATTATCTAACTTTTATCTGCCTCTCATCTAGGCTTCTTTGTTTCTCTCTTTTTTTACTTTTTTTTTGAAACTGTGTGCCTAATTTCTGTTTAAAATTGACTAATAAGTTGTCCCTGTATATGCATGTTGGAAATGCGTACCCTGTGCAGCCCCATTGGGCTCAAGAAACAATTTCCTCCTTTTGGAAAATGAACCCTGGGTCTCATCCACATTCAGCTCCTGGGATAAAAATGTTTGCTCGGGGGAGTCAGGGGGTAGATCCAGGGATAAACTTCCCTGCAACAAGTAAAAGATTGAGAATGATGAGGAATAACATAACATGCAATAACTTATTCATAGAAAAGGATGTGGGTGGATAAGTTTTGAAAAACATAAACCCACCAACAATGAAGAAAAAAAATGGAAAGTAAATGATACAGGCTTTGCCTAGCCACGTGTGTGCGGTACTGTGGTTGTTAGCTACGGTTAATGGTGGTTGAGTTTGTTAGACGGTTAGCTAAGCTCCGGGGGGGGGGGGGGGGGGC